GAGAAATGCATTTAATCTCTTTTATTTGATTTAGGAATACATTCGTTTCCATAAAAAATATTAATATTGAAATCAGAAATATTCTATATTATGAAATATTTTCCATATTATTTTCTATATTATGAAATATATGTTACCACTGCAGTTAGAACCACTTATGTTATTGAAATTAAGATTTGGCATAAGCTGATTTATGCATTTATTTTTATTTAAATTTCGCTTATAAAACATATAACAAATTTTTTTATATTTAATATTTATATTAAATATTTCAAATTTTGATCATTTCCCATTTCACTTGTGGGCTGCATTCAACATTTATCGCCTTAAATCAATTGATTTATTTATAATGAACTTATTTATATGAAAGCACTTTGCATGTTAAATTATTCTCAATTATTCTGATCTGTGTGTGAGCAAGCTGAAGAGTGGGCATAAGACCACCTCTCGAATCCTACCTAGCTTAGTCAATAAGTGATAGTGTATGCAAAACTCTTGTCAGTCCAGTTGTTGTTTTATAAATTATCGCTCGTTACATTAAAGCGCACTAAAAACCAATATTAGAATAGAATATTCATTTAAAAAATTTTTATTTCATATCATTTAAAAAATTAATAATAGGTTATTTACACTTATTACACTACTGTGTAATATCTAATATATAATAATTGCAAAACCAGATATTACTTCCCAAAATAATGTTGATCAAAAATTCAGAACTGCAATATTAAATTTCGAATGAATTTTCAATTCCCAAATGCTTTAGGTAGAATTTTAAGTCTAAATAAAGTACTAAGCCATACCAACCAAATTCACACAAATTTGCTTAGTCGGCACAGAGAGGCACCCATAAGTGCTGCAAATTGCAGCGAGTAATGCGAAAAACCAATATGGCAGGTTGGGGCGCAAACGTATCAAGAACGAGTGTTGAGCAAATACATTTTTGCTAGACGAAGTGCTGGGGAGTTTTCTTCAAGTATTTCCATACCGAAGACAAAAACAAAAAGTCAACAAAATCAGAAATTAAGCAAAATAAAGGATATTGAAATGAGTTATGGTAGGTAAGCAAACAAAATGTTTAAGAACCTCGACGTCTCTACAATACTCGTACTCGTACTCGTACATCTACATATATGGTATATGAACGTGTTTGCGTTTACATTAAACTATGCATACGGAATACTTGCAAGCTAGCAAATCCACTGCACCCAGTAGGCAAAATATCGAAAATTCCTTAAGCAGAAACATTTGTGGTTAAGCAAATTACATACTTCAATCTAATGGATAATAATCAAAAATGCTTCTATACAGAAGCATCTCTCTTCTCATCTCCTCTGGCGTTTTCATCTTTTTCTTCAATATTACGGACAGAATTTCATATTCGTAAAACTACTTAGTAAGATTAATATGATTAAATACAAACAAATAATTAATGTGAATATGAAAATATCTACAATATAAATAACAACTCTTAAAAATTAATAAAAAAATTTACCACTCATCTTTGAATTAGTCTAATTCTAGCACACTAATGTATCCCAATAGAATTCAAAAAAACTATTTTAAAAAATACATTAAAAATACATATTAAATAAATATTAAAAATTAATACTACATATATCGAAAGTATATATTCTATATATCAAAAATATATATTATATATATTAAAAGTATGCATTATATATATATACAAAGCACCGCCGAATAGTACACCACAAGAAAATAACCAGCTACTATACTCAACAAATGGCAAGAGAAGATCTGCAACGAATCATCGAAATGTGGTAACAAAGATGAAACAATAGCACTCAGCTAGACAGCTAGACTGATACCAAATATAATCACCTAAGTGTTTAAGTAGAAATCGGGAGATACAAATTACTATCTCACTTAAATGCTGAACGGACATGAAGAGGTATATTTATAAGTATTCTTAGTGCATGGGTGAGGCGGATCTACCTGACTGCATTTATGGCGACGGAAACTGTGACGACACAGAGCACACCTTCCTTTACTGTAATAGGTGGTTCACATTTAGAGAAAAGATAACAGCCCAGATTGGACCAAAAAATAACGAAAATATGGTGGAAAAAATGAGCGCGAACACAGAGAGCTGGCGAACTTTAAAGTCATATGTGATTTGAGTTTTCAAAGCAAAGAAATTAGACCTAGAAAGGAGAACCAGAAACTAAGTTAATGAATAATGCAGACACCAAGAAAATGCGGTTTGGACGCTGATCGAAAATCACAGATGGAAATGCCAACATAATAGAAATCATCCTCGAAGTCATAAGAAAGCGGTTCCATGGGGGAAAAAGTATCGCTGAAGAGGGAATGTTTTAGCCCGTATACTACATACAAATGTAGTAAACATTTTCTTCACAAAAAAATGTATTATATATATCAAAAATATGTGTTATATATAATAAATTATATATTATATACCTAAGCTTTGTCAAAGGTTCCAGATAGTTTTAGCCCTTGTGTTTTCAGTAATACGGTAGCACAATGAGCCTATGTCGAAGAGTTTTTGTCGAAGAAAATTGAATGCATATCTCTATCTCGATGACATATTGTATTTAGAATAATAGATGTCAGTTCCGTAAATATCTACTTTAGCTACTTTAGAATTGTTTAATGATCATGACTTCATTGGGTCCCACATGAATTCCTAAGTGTTATCATTTATATCAAATTTTCAAGTGTTTGTATTTTACATTTTAAATATTTTATATTTATAAACCCCAACATTGTCTCGATATCCGTCAGTATCCTAATTAAAGTCCTTTAAATAATTCTGTTAACACGCGATGATGGTTTCTGTATAGAACAAACGATTGAGTTTTGAAAACGCTATATTCTGCTGTAAACATGACAGAGTGATTAAATATGTGTGATGTGATGTGGAAATTGCAATTAATTAACACATATTCACGTATCCAAATCGAGAAATTGTAATTTTAACCACATTTTACAGGCATTCAAAGTGGAAAAAACGCATTGACCAAGTCTGAAAAGTGCAACATTTTACGGGTCACTGTGATTACTGAGCAATTTTCCCAATTTCGAATGGGGAATTGGTAAACACGTTTGAGCACAAAATTGCCTATTATAAACGGTAAGCAGGTCAGAAATTGTTGGAAAATGCATGCACCATTGATAGACCCTGAAACGCTTTTCGACTTGCATGTCCGCAAAAGTGCTTCGAAGTTTCATTCACAGCACCGGAATTCGTGCTCCTTTATTTTAGTATGTGTAACATTTTTTTCCGGATATTTTTTTCAAATCTGCCACTGGGCTTTTTTGCCTTTCCAGTGCCACTCTAGGGACAAAAGCACATTGGCAGGAAGCGGTAAAAAATAGTTTAAACTGACTGACTTTAAAGTTAGTCTTACTAATTGTTGCTGCGGCTTCTGTTGTTGTGGCAAATTCATGGAGTTAGACACTTTGTGAAGGAATCAAGTGTGGGAGAATGGAGTTCTGAATAGAGTTATGATTATTCCTGTAAGTTTGTGTGGCACAAGTTTTTCTACGTTTATGTCTTGTGTTTGTATTAAATTAGATGTTGTTGACATGCAAAAGTATTTGAAACTTTCAGATTTAGTTGCATTGCCATTAACTTTCATGATGACGTCACATTCGCTTTTTTTCAACTACAAAAAAAGTGTTTGCGTGACAATATTTTGTGCTGATATAAGGTTTTCTTCGTTGTAAATCGGTTGTAAATGGTACTATATGTTCGTTCACTAATTCAAAATAACAATATTAAAATAATATGAGAATATGATTGCATGCCAATAAACGAGGTTAAAATATTTCTTAATAGGTCGATGATAATTTGCTCTATGTCTTCGTAAACAACCTGGAACTTGAGCAATGAAAGTTTTTGCATACATAGAATTTTATGAACACAGGTAAGTAAGTAGTTTGGACGTCCTTGTTTCCAAAAATCCCACTTAAGGTCTAATATGGCCCATTGTGGTACCATTGGAATAGCATTGATACATACATAGATTTAAATTAGTATACAGCCAACGCCGGAAAAGGTGATGACTCCCCCATTAGGTTAAGGAAAGCCAACCTGACAGTTCTATAAGCTTGGCCGGGTTCCTAACATTACAGGAAGACAGCTTAGTCAGATCGGTCAGAAAAGAGGATCCAAAGGCTTTTAATCTTCTATCAGCTAAAGAAGGGCACTGACACATGAGTTGGAATACGGTCTCCTCTTCATCCTCAGAGCCACAACCTCGACAAAAGTCGTTAGCGCAGATACCGTGGTGCTGTTCATGTTTTGTCTAAATTAGACCAAGTCAATCTTGATATCTGACAATGAATTTCATTAGCTCCGTATTGCTTGGCTATGTTCAGTTATTGTTGTTTAATTGGCAGATTAAACGTAGCAAGTGGAACGTCTATATCTGAGAAGTGAATATTAAGGGAGAAGAGTGCCTGCCTTGGCGAGGTCGTCTGCCGTGCAATTACCCGAGATATACCTGTGATCAGGAACCCAAATGAGTTTAGCGGTAACAAGCCTAGCTAGGTCATTCAGAGATATTGAAATATTGATATTGATGGATTATATTATAATTATGTTGAAAAGAAATACTTTCTTTTTTGAAACTTTTCCAACTCGAGTAGTTGAATGAACTTCTTACAGTATTTTATGAAAAAAGTACAATAGAAAAAAACGAAACTTATTTTATCACAACCAAACATAATAATAATAAAAAAATAATTTTTGCAAGACTAATTTTTTATTTATCTTGATTTTTCACTTAACTTAACAAGCGTTAAAATGCATTTTTTTTGAGCGCAGAAGAAGAGTGTCATAATTCCATCATTCAAGCAGCAAAACAACCTGCAACTCCATTCAATCGGAACAGCGGCACGTAATTCGCAATGCAACATAAAAACCTCGCAGAAACTGCATAATTGCTGCAGTCACAAAGAAAATTACGCGACGTCAACAAAGGCACGCTACTTCCTCCAGACAAGAAGTAATGGCATCCCAACGTGGCTTACAGAAGGCCCTGATCACTCAAGTGGTGGTATTGCTCCTGTGCTGTTATTGCAAAGTTACAGTAGATGCACATGCATTGTCATTACCAAGTAGTTTCCCAGTTGCTGTGACAGCTCTGACAGCTGTCAATGGTAATCGCAATGATGATGCTTACCTCGTGGATATGATTGTAGCTGAAAGTAAAAAGCATGAGGAGAAATCATGGCATGCTGAGTCCAGCGAAGAAGAGCACAGTGCACATCACAAAAAAGGTGGTGAAAAAGGCAAGAAATCTCACAAATCCGAGGAGCATTATGAGAAGGGCGAAAAGGGTCATCATGATAAGGCTGGCAAAGAAGGTGAAGAAGAGGAGGAACAGAAATACGAAAAGAAGCATAAACTAGAGGATAGCCATCTGAAGAAGCACAAAAAAGGTGAGAAGGGCGAAAAAGGACATGAATTTGAAGACCACGGTTCGTATAAAAAGGGACACTCGATTAAGGGCAAACATCACGTGCATAAGCTAAATGAGGATAAAAAGGAAAAAAAATATTATGATGAGGATCACGCTGAAGGTAGTGAAGAAAAGTATGGCGGTTTTGAAGAAGGTAAAAAACATAAGAAAGGCGGACATTACAAGAAGGGCGGACATAAAAAGTCATCACATGAAAATAAACATGGTAAAAAGGGGCATAGTAAGAAAGGGCATAAGAAGGAAGGACATAAAGGGCACAAGAAGGCGCAGGATGAGGAAAAGAAATGGGACAATGAACATGAAGGTGAAAAGAAACATGGTGACAAGCATGAGAAAAAGTGGCACAAATCACATAAGAAGGAAAGTAGTCATGGTCATGGCCATGGACATTAGTTGGTTGATCTGCTCTAAGCATTTGTGAAATTACAACTATTATTTTTATTATTATTATTATTCACGCATATACAAAATGATTAATAATAAGTTATTTATATTTTCTTAAATGTGATTTCGAATAAAATTTGTTTGGTAATTAATATTTTCATTGAAAAAAAATATTGTTCAAAAATGCAATACTGCATATAACATATACATAAAAATTCTTTATATTTAATTTAAATTTAAAAACTATATAACAACGTATATTTATATATATATGTAGAAAAAAAAATATGTAAAAAAACTATCTGAAATATTTAATAAAATATTAAAAAATAAGCTAAAGCAATTTTTCGTATTTTTTATATAGTAGTACTACAGTATTTTTACAGTTTTACAGTTTTATTCATTATAACAGAAATAATTATATACCAGATCAGAGCTGCACAAAGTACAGTCCACGAGCATCATGCGGCCCGCGGCTTAAATATGTGCGACCCGTGACATGTTCCTAATCTACCACAATTAGGCAAATTATTCTCTGTTATATTTTAGTAACATTACATTATTTTAACCTTATGGTATCCCAAATAAATGAATTAAAATGCTTTAAATAATTTATTATATTTCACGGTTATTTACTGAATTGATAAAGTTTTTAGTATATATTTCTTTGTGTACAACTGGTTCAAAAAACCCATATCCAGTATCCAGTGTATATTACAATAACTAATATTAATAATTATAAAAGAAAAATTAATACAGTTTATAAAACTATATTTAACATTAAAGCCGTATTTTTATTTTTTCCCGAAAACGTATGTATTTATTTCTGCGGTACCCCAGCCTATTCAGTGATTTGTATTAGCTCAAGATCTTATCCGGTCTAGACAATCGTAATAAAGATAAAGCTTACAGTTATGCCGTTTCACCATTAACCATCTGTATTTTTTATATAAAATAATACTACAGTTTAGATTACATACAGTCTTAAGGGAGCTAATACTATTATAATATAATAGTAATAATATATACGATATAAAAGAGTATATAATAATATACTGTTATATTATAATATTATTAATATTAATATAATATTCATAATATAATTGTTTCAAAATTAAAACTAATAAACTACAATTTCAAACAAGTCAAATAGGTGTATCTTCAGCACCTATATAACCTTGAGCAGATAATATAAAACTGCAATATTCTAAAAAAATACTATTCCGCTGCCTCCGGAATAAAATAACCGAAGAAGAACATAGATTCTATACTAAGTGATCATATTTAAAAGTTCAAAACACGGCTTCTCAATTCTAGTTGATTACATTTTTACTAGATTTCTATTTTAATTCTATATGATGATTATATTTCTTTAAACTTTGAATTTTACGGTACTTAGCTTAGTATGATGGGGCTGAACTTGACATAAGTAACGCATTCAGTGTTAATCTATCCATGTATTGCAACACATGCCGGCCGACTTTTTTACATTTACTTAAGAAACTTTGCAGTGGGTGACTAATGATTAAGAGCTTGTTTCACGTTGTTCCAATTCAACAAAGAGTTCATGAATCGAGATATAGTACCTCATCTATGTTCATATAACATAGATGAAGATGAATTTGTTATATCTAAAGAAACAATACCATAACGTACGGGCCATTATTTGTGCTCAAGTGGGGTTTCTTTCTTTCTAAACAAGGCCGCCACTCCAACCTACCTACCCTACCATAACGTACCCGAACAATGCCTGATATATATTGATAATATATATAAATATCTCTATAAATCACATAAAATATACATTACACACTCTATCTATTAAATTCAAGTACGTAGTATTTAATAAAATCTAATACTATGTTTTCAGCTCGGATTTTAGCTCGGTAGCAAAAAGATTCTACCGATTCTACTGCCAATGGACCAACTTATAACAAAGTAATTGTGTTAGCGATACGCTTACTTGTCTATTGCAATTAAAAAATATTAAAATAAAATTCATGTATTACTTATGTATCTCACATGTACAATTATAAATCATACAAATGCTGTTAAAAAGCACTTTATGGAAAATAGTAATGGATATTACTATAAATCAGCATTTTTACAGTAAAGACAATGTACAACTTAGTTTAATATAAAATCATTGATTTAGCTTCCATTTAGAAGTTGAAAATTCACGTTAAGACTTAAAGATCGTAGTTAGACCTTGGATAAACTCATTGATACTGCTGTCATTACCCATCATAAAACAATAATATATAATATAATATAATAAAGTGTTGTAAATTTTATGATTTTGATTTGGTGGCACTGCTGATTAAAATTTAATAATTTAATATAACAATTTTATAATTAATTTTTTGTGTGATTTATTATTGAGTGGAATTTTTCTAAACAAACCGAAGCTGTCTTTAAACTTTCAAACGACTTTTCACACAAAAAAGCTTTTTACTGTGCAGTAAGCAAGTTAACCCAATGGAAACGACAAGTACAACTTACTAAGTAAGCTGTGGAAACATGCAATTAAGGACTTTGAATGTTTAAAGGACTCAAGGACCATATTTCAGTAACTGTTGCAAACTGTAAATGGAGAGGATGTATAATAATTTCCAATGTCCAATTTACGGCCTAACTGTCCTCTTTTCAGACTTTTTTATTTACAGATATTCGCTTGGTCGCTAGTTTTTATCGAATAAAATTGATTGGCAATAAAATTGATTGCTAAACGAAAAATATCTAATTATTTTTAATAATTCGAGTAAAATGAATTTGATTTCATTTAATTCGATACAATTTAATTTGAAAATTGATTCATACAATAAAAATCCATTTTAATAAAATAGTAATTAAATATTGACATTTAACTGTTTGCCAATGAATTTAAATAAATAATAATTGTAATATTATAACAAAAACCAAAAACAAATAAATAAAATTTTAATGGAAATGTATTATTAAAAACCTAACATTTAAGTAGAAAAAATAGTGTGAACTATTATATTTCAATTCAATTTTAACGACTTAGATGTAAAATATATATATGTGTACATATATATGCATATATATATATATGTATTGCTTTAATATGATTTTGTCATTTTGCTGACATTTGATAAAATTATTATTGACTTGTTATGTAGGAGCTTAAATAAACCACAAATTTACAGGATGTTTGCTTTTGATGCATTGGTCAATATTTTGTCCAACATTCAAATGAATTGAACCGCAATTAAATTGTATTTAGAAGATAAAATATATTTGCAACCAAGCAAACCGCATTGTCAAAGACAAACAAATTGCTTTTTGTCAAATCAAAAATATTACATATATATATATATTTTATTCTATATATATATATATGTATATATATATACTCGTATCTGTGAGAAGGTAATTTTTTATTGCATTTTTTTATACAACTAATCGTTTATTCAAAAGGTTTAAGGAATTAAGTACGATGCTTTTAATTTGTTCTCCAACAACAAAAAGAATTTTTTATTTATCAAAAAAAAAAAAAAACAAATAATTTTATTGAAAATATTCAATATATTAGCCGCTATACCTTCTGCTCAAAAAGTATCCGGATTTTGTTGTTTGTTAACTAGACCTAGTTAACTAGACCTTGTAATAGATCCTTTCCAAAAACTTTTTTTTGTTATGTTGGTACACCTTTTCTTGACATATGGTACAAATTTGAGCGCCATCTGTCAATTAGTTTGTTTACAGCAGCTGTTAATGTGAGACTACCTCAAGTGCATTTAACGATTTTTACTATGGAAAGTTCTTGTTGTACGCGATTTTTTGATCAAACATGGCATCACTGTCATCGCTCAGGCACCATATTCGCCAAATTTGGATACGTGCGACTTTTTCCTGTTCCCGAAACTCAAATTGCCCCTTCGTGGTAAGCGTTTTGAGTCGATTGAATCGGTAAAAGAGAATTCGCTGAAGGAACTAAAAGCCAAAAGTGTATGGAAGATTGGGTTCGCTTCAGAAGGAGCATATTTTGGAGGAGATAAAATAAATTTAGAATTAAATTTAAATTTCTGTGTTTTATTTACAAAATCCGAGTACTTTTTGAGCAGAAGGTAGCTATTAATATGATTTTATTTAAGTCCTCATTGTTATGGTCGTTAGTTCTGCGAATTGTAACGACAAGCAAGTAATTAATAAATCTTTAGAGTAATCTTTAGAGATGTACTGCTTCATTGATAGATGACTGCTTAAGTGAGTTTCTACCAAAGTATTTGATAAGTTGTTGTATATAACTTAAATTCTTCGTCGTCGTTTATTTTAATCTCGATTATATCCAGAAAAACAAAGAAATAAGACTTTGCGTACCACCTAGTTAAAAAATTATAACTTATCTGAGTTTTTTTTTTAATACTTAATATATTTTAAGCATATAAATGCAGTAATTCAGACAAAGATCTATATCACGACTCATTGAATCGGATTCAACATGAACTTCTTAAGATTTAATAGTATGTCAAACAAATTAAATAATTAGAAAGGATTCGAATAGATATGAAAAGACAACAACAAAAGTTTTAGTTAATTTATTGACATTTGGCTGACCATATAGTTGTTTCGAGTACTGAGAAATACCCATCATTCCTGGTTCAATAGAAACTATTGTATTTTATAGAGAGGTTACGAGCACTAGTGAATTACAACAACAAGAATATTACGAATTTTTAATTAATTATATTTCTAGCTGTTTGGAGTATTGTCAAATACCCATCATTAATGGTCTTGGATTTATTTCTTCTATTTATTTATTTATTCGTTAATAATTTTTTGTGATTGCAAACATTAGGGAGTGAGCTCGTGCCCTGCCAAATTTAAATCGTAGGGTCAGTATTCATTAACCAACTGAACCAAAGTTGACCCCAACAACATAGCTGGCTTATTTAGTACAACTTGATTTAAACCGCTTAACTAATAAACAATTTAAATCGCATGACTCTTGTTTGTGGTGTCAGTAATTCCTAATAGGGTCTTTC